CTTGTCAGAATATATATAGATATCTTTTTAAAACTCAAAGAAGAACGTTCCAGATAGTCTGCTTATTGCAAAATGCCAGAATCTCGACAAGCCTATTTAATGAATGAGAAAATGTACAACTGAGTCTTGAGCATATTCATATTAATCCTGGAAGAAGAGCTCATTCTAAACAATTCATAACCTCATTTTAGGATCGTTGGGGTAACTTTGAAGACAAAACTCAACTGATGTATATGTATATATCTTCTGTAAAAAATACTATTACACATTAATGTCTGATTCTTCTAAGATTACTACAGATGTTACCATTAACAACGATGAAGTCACTGCTATCCACTGAAAGCATAGATATTAATATCTTCCACAGCAAGACGAGACCAGCATTTTTTTCACGCTCGTCTTCATTTGATTACTTTATGAGTCTTAGTAAACACAAATCATTCTATAAAAGATACTTCGTGAACATCAAAATAGCAAACGGATTGTAAGGTTATTCCAAGTGTTTGTCATTTACAGACTATGATCGTATGCTCACGTAAATCAACATGAAATAGACAGTGTTAGTCTCATTCTTACACATGCAAGCTCTGATACAGTCCTTTTTGTTATTAGTTCTGTAACATATAATCAGTTCATTCTTTCTTTGTATAATACGTTAGGCAAAAAATAAATACACTAACATCCAATGTGGATGTTACAGATTCGTTATCTATTTGTGTTGTGATATGCCTTCTTTTATTATTCTGTTATCATTTATGTTCGTCCATTCCCACAACATAAAAAAATCTTCACGTCCGAGTCTGCAGATAGATACAAACATGTAACTTTCGCGAAAATATTGAAATTATAAGAAAAAAAATAATTATAATTTACCTTTACTTCACAGTTGCTGTGTTACTATAATACGTAAGCTTGAACTTTGAGGCCATGTTTTTGAGAGTTAAGGTCAAAGTTCAGTGACATACAAATTGGTTCAAATTTCGCGCAAAGCCACACGAGGGCTATCTGCGCTAGCCGTCCCTAATTTAGCAGCGTAAGACTAGAGGGAAGGCAGCTAGTCATCCCCACCCACCGCCAACTCATGGTCTACCCTTTTACCAACGAATAGTGGGATTTACCGTCACATTATAACGCCCCCGCGGCTGAAAGGGCGAACACGTTTGATGTGACGGGGATTAGAACCCGCGACCCATAGACTAGAAGTCGATCGCCCTAACCACCTGGCCATGCTGGGCTCGTGCTTTATGATTCTTCACTGTGTTCTGTATCATTTGTATCTGTATCTGTGTCGTTTGAAGAAAGTTCGTATATATAGCAAAGATATTGTGATTTGCAATTAAAAGTGAATGTTCTGTAGAAAATCGTAGAAGTTCTGGTGTTCTGATGGATGCTATTACAAAACATAGAAGTCCTGGTGTTCTAATGGATGCTATTACAAAACATAGAAGTCCTGGTGTTCTAATGGATGCTATTACAAAACATAGAAGTCCTGGTGTTCTAATGGATGCTATTACAAAACATAGAAGTTCTTGTGTTCTAATGGATGCTATTACAAAACATAGAAGTCCCGGTGTTCTGATGGATGCTATTACAAAACATAGAAGTCCCGGTGTTCTAATGGATGCTATTACAAAACATAGAAGTTCTGGTGTTCTAATGGAAGCTATTACAAAACATAGAAGTCCTGGTGTTCTAATGGATGCTATAACAAAACATAGAAGTCCTGGTGTTCTAATGGATGCTATTACAAAACATAGAAGTCCTGGTGTTCTAATGGATGTTATTACAAAACATAGAAGTTCTGGTGTTCTAATGGATGCTATTACAAAACATAGAAGTACTGGTGTTCTAATGGATGCTATTACAAAACATAGAAGTCCTGGTATTCTAATGGATGCTATTACAAAACATAGAAGTTCTTGTGTTCTAATGGATGCTATTACAAACATAGAAGTCCCGGTGTTCTAATGGATGCTATTACAAAACATAGAAGTCCTGATGTTCTAATGGATACTATTACAAAACAAAAAGTTGTAAGCATTACTGTTTGTTTCATTTATTTTTATAATAAGAAATCTGTTTTTGACAAGCTTACATATCTGAATGGATATCATCTATGGTAAACGTTTCATTTACAAAGTATAATATCACTGTCACTATATTTAAGTGGAGCAAAACGATTATACATAGTTTCATAAAAGCATACATAGAATGATGTAAACAGGGTTATATAGGTGACAGTAGATTTAATGGTGTCGTACTGCCGATTTTTTCATTCAAACATATATAGGTAAGTCATTCGGTTAGAAAACCGTTAGGGAAAGTATAACATCAGTGTCACTATATTTAGTTGGAGCAAAATTATCATAAAGAGTTTCATAAAGACAAACATAAGAATGTAAACATGATCATATAGGTAGGTCATGGTGCATTGAATGCAGTCATATTGTCCATTACTTTTAGTTTATATGGTTCAGAAGAAATATATTCAGAGTTTGAATACATTAAATTAATATGAAAAATAGTCCTTTTCAGGACTATTATTTGTATTATAATCTATAATCATATATGTAAACTGTATAATCAAAGTCTACAGCATTAGATTAGTTAATGCAATGCATGAAATATATATACCTAGAGTTTGAGTGTTATATGTAAAATTATGTATGGAAATCAGTTCTCTAACTAGATTGTAAATTAAACTAATATACGTATACTCACATGATTACATCATCGAGTAAGCTACGTTAATATTTAAACTATATCAAATCTTGATGAACGAAAATATGAATTTTTACTTATTCAAATTTTGTTATGAGTTGAATAGACTGTCCATTTTTTTTTGTTCGGACTTACAACTTTAATTAACGCTTTATATGATATAAATCTAAAGTTTGAATGTTTAATGTTAGCATTGAAGTATACACTTAGTCAAACTATAACAAAGCTTTTTACTTTCTAACACACTCTGTTGTAATTCAGAGACGACGATGAACATATGACCATTCTGTTCATTTTCCTTTAGACTTAACAACTTGAGTTAACACTTTATATATCTAGAGTTTATATGTTTCGGGTTAACATGGAAAAAAGTCGTATACGTATTTTGTAAGTTAAGCTAATATATGGATAATCATAAAGTACACTGTATAGATAGTCAAACTGTTTGTTTGTTTGCTTGGTTGTTTGTAATTAAGCACAAAGCTGCACAATGCGCTATCTGTGCTCTGCCCACCACGGGTATCGAAACCCAGATTCTAGCGTTGTAAGTCCGCAGACATGCCGCTGTGCCACTGGGGAGCGTCAAACTGTTTATAATGAAATATTAATTTTACGTTTTTAGAAAGAAAACAGGACTATATAAGTTATGATAAATTGAATACAGTCGTGTAGTCTATTTTTGCCGTTTCAACATACTAGCATTACCTTCAGTTTTAATAGTTCATATGAAAATATCAAGTTGAACATTTTAGTACGAAGAGAAATGAAACACATCCCTTTTCAGGACTATGTAGACTGTAAGATAAATTAGTGTATAGACAACAGTATGGTAGATAGAAAACATATCTAGAGATTAAATGTTTTATGTGAATTAGAGAAATTAGTTCTTTTAAGGACTAAGTTGTAAATGAAACTAATATATGTGTGAAAGCCTAGAAATACACTCTATTAGTCAATCTGTAACACATAAAATACTCTCTTTGCAATTTCAAACACTTTTATTATAAGTGATGTTAAAGTGAAACTATAAATTAGAAAGTTGAACCTAACAATAATGCAGTATTTATAACGCATTAAATCTATTGAAAATTAACCTTTATTTTTTTGTTCTATAACATGATACAGATTATCATTCATGTTCAGACCCTCTAGTGGTTCGCGATGAACCACATTATAAAACTTCTGTCCTTGCCTCATAGATTATCTCCTCGCCATCTAGTCGTATAATTTGTAAGTATCCACCCCTAGTGGCGCAGTTTTGAACCATTAGCCCTAGTGGCACATTTCGGAACTATCCGCCTCCTAGTAACCCATTTTGGAATTTTCTACTCTCTGGCGCCACTCTGTGGAACTATGACGTCACGTGACCACACAGTCTCAAAGGATGTTCCATACACCTTTTGATCTCCTCTCCCTTCACACACTCAGACCCCTTTAGGCGCAGGTTGGGCTCCCTAACTACTGTCTGTCGTGTCATGTGAGAAATGTACCTGTGGCGCCTGCCTCTTTCTGCTGTAAGTACTGATATCTAGAATGCCCACTGTAATGCGATTGGTATCTAAAGTTTTACAAGGTGTATCCATGTTAGGAACATTAAATTAGTTACACTGCTCGTACTTAATCATTTGCATGGTTTTTATACCATAACTTACAGTCGATTACAAGTGTACTGTGTTTGTTTATCTTGATCAAAATACGAATCAATAAAAATAAGCTTACATATGCTCCAATTGTTTTAAAACAGATTCCGCATGCTGGTCTGAAGTATCTACAATCCAATGACAGTGAGGCATCAGGAATCGCCACGGTAACAAACGCCATAATAAAATAAAGTGTTTGAAATAACTTGAAATTCTATGATTAAAGTTGTAACTGTACACGACGAAAATGCGTTTTCCTCATCAATGTTTTATTGTTACTAAACGCATGCAGAAATAATTTTTCTGTAGAAAAATTTCCAAATTCATTTCGTAAAAAACATATTTTATTTTTAAATTATGAGTTAATCCGAGTTCTTAACTTTCCGTCGAAGTAACATTATAAGGTTTGTCAGCAGTTGTTCGAAAAGAAAACTTTTTTTAGTATTCATTTACTCCAGTATTTGTATAGAAATGTTAATGCCTAATGTTTGACGATAATTTTTGTCATCATAGGACAAACATCCCTGCTGCTTATATTGTGAAAAAAAAATGAATATTTTTTCTGTTATTTTCCTTTATTACATTTTTTTTTACATTTATTGTTTTCAAACTTCCTAGCTGAATCCCATAAAATCTGAAGAGTCTCAGAGCTAACTAAATCTTGGCTATTTAATTTATGAGAATGCTTAGTTTATAAATCAAGAATTCAATACGTGATCAGTTGCGTTTTTGGCAGTAACTGTTAGACCCAGTAATGTTACTTGTTTTAGTGTCTTGCCTGCATATCACTTATTAAATCTCCACACGTAAGAAAAACGCGAGTTTTTATCTACACTTCAATCAAGAGTTTAACTCCACAGTTTATATTACTGTATGTGTGTGTGTGTGTCTTTGAACATTACATACGTATCCTATCTGTCGATTTTTAATTAGATCTGTTATATTTCAAAATAAAAAAGTAAAAATAAAATTATAAATAATAGAAAGAAATCAATGTGCCATTTCAAAGTTTGCTACAGCTAAAATATATATTTATACACAGTTATATGGATTATACACATGCGATAAAGAAATCCTTATTATCTTGCTTCGTAATTTTCAAATTAGGCTAATAATTCATTACTTTAAGTAATCAGAGAAGTCATTCACAAAATATGAAGCAGTAAGTGTATCATGTTACAAGATGATAAACTTACAACACATAAGAAATGTCAAGTAACATATGGGAAAATAATGTGCTCATCAACCACTAAAACACCTGAAATATAGGGAGCAGTACAAGCTTAATTTTCCATTGAAATGAACAACAGTATTTACACTGAGTAAATAAGATCAGTGAACCTTGCACCCCGAGAATGGGTACATCACCTTTCTACATCATATACAGAAGCAACATATTACACAATTATAGATTGACTAGCCACAAGCGAAGTTTTAATTCCCTTCGTGTACAGTTGTTACTTTGAGCCACTACGAAAAATACATATCACCTTTCATAACTGTGTTTAGTTTCAGTAGGACAACAGGCTGCTCGAATCTCCTCTGGGTCTTCTCCAACACCAGGGTTCAAAACTGTATTGTCACTGGGATACTTGAGCACATGCGGGAACGAGGGAGTTGAACTTCCCTCCCACGTGTGTAAATTGGGCATGCTCTGTAGGAGTTGACTATCGGGTGCTACATCAACACTGGACGTACTGGCAAGATCTGGGCTGACAGAGGACGATATGCCATACTGTTCATTCTCCGAGCTGCTACCAGAGACGTCCGAATCCGAGGGACTACTTATGCCACTATAAGCATTTTGGGTATGAAGATAGCCCTCTGGAAATAACGTTAGGTGACGAGTGCGAGGAGCCCCAAGAGAAGTGAGCATGGAGGTGCTTTCAAAGGGATGATCGCAATGTTTAGATACTAATTCGTCTTTCAGAACTCTTCGTATTGGCCAGTTCTCTACTTGTGAGGATTCTTCGTCGTTATCTTGTGTTGCCCATGAATTACTAGCACCGTTTTTACGTCTAATTACAGAATCTGCTGCGACAGTTTCGTAAACATGATCTATACGTGATGGATACGTGTCACATGGGTGATGAGGATATATCTGTTGAGGTCGATCTACAGTTGTAATCATTCCTTGTGAAGGGTATCTTAAGAATGCGGAGTTATCAACGGATGAAGAACCGCCTATAAAGGTAGCCCGATCCACTAAAAGAACACTTCTCTTGCCTTGATTCATTTTCCTATAAGAAGCAGAAAGCCAATTTTTCAGGCGGAGATCGTCAGTTTGTAAACCCACCATGGGAATAAATGGGAGATCTAAAATGCAAAGAAAAAGAAAATTATAAAACACATGTTCAACCATATTAAAGTAACTTTTAACAATAAACCTCTATCTTAAATTAGACTTAAAAATAAGGTTTAATTTAAACTGTTTAAGTCTAAAATGCAATGTGTTTAATTTGAAGTGCAATGCTTACTAAAATACATTAAATTATAATTTAATATTAAACAAATACTTAATTACACTGATTCTCCACTTTATTATACTCCTGTATTTAATTATACCCCATTCATCGAGAAGAACGATCTCCAATTGGTTCACAACTGATTACGGTTGCGAACGTGTTATTTAAGTTCATCATAAAAATGCCCAATCAGGTTGTTGCGTTGGTTAAGGAACATTCCTTTAAATCAAACGATTTAGAAACGATTTTGGACAAAATGAACATAGTGAATTGCCACAATATCCTTTCGAAAGAATCCGTGACCAACAAGATAGAAATGAATCAATGTGTGATGAACAAAATCAGCTAAGCTATGGATGATATTCAGCCTTTCGAATTAATCAAAGGATCTAAACCCTGCCACTATTTTACCACCCTCAGCTGCTTACACAGTTTGATCAACAAAAGCAAGGTCTATGGTTTTCTCGATATTTTTACGGTGCCTCAGTGTAGAAAATCTTTGAAAAACGACTCTTTAATCGATATTACATGCTTTCAGTTAATCACTTTGTTTACAGTCTGTGCTTTAAGTATCTCTGAACTCGAACGTGATTAATGGTTTCTATATGAAAGTTTTATAGTTATTTGCAAAGTACAGTTTTAGATAGCCGAATTCTGATCACTATTGAAGGAATTAGTCAACTGAGATACAGTCTAACTCCAGTTGCATTTATAATCCTGTACAAGATTCTTTGTTTTTGGTTAGTCACCAGTAAATTCCTTTTCGATTCCCACTGTTGGTAAACCTCTTAATAGTTATTGAAATAAATGATTTTTGACATCGGTGCTCCTTCTAGATGTATGTCCACTAACATAGCCATTTGAAATTTGGAGAGATTCCTCTTCTTACTTATTGACTTACCAGCTTGCATTGGTATACATTACGTCTGTGCATTTATAAGACTCAAGCACCTGATGATGACAAAACCTTGTCGAAACGTTGTACATTTGCTGTTATGTTAAACTTATATTAAAGTTTTTCTTCATTACCCATTCAAGCCGTCTCCAGCCATTATTAGCCTCAAAGTGGGTTCCTCGTCATCGAATAAGGCTTAGGAAATCAAGCATTAACTCAGATTTGACTTTTAATGTGGATCTTTCTCAAAGTCCACTAAATTACGTTCACTTTCAAAATAAAGTAATATGGCATTAATTTAACTGTAAAGCACCAGCTCTACTTTCATTTCCACTCTGCATAAGCATTGATATTCTCTTTCTTGCCCAGCATCACTTTCCTGTGATGCCTGAACGTGGTCTTTGCAAAACTACATTGTTGTTTTTATAGTTCGAGAAAGATAATCTGAAGTTCTGATTTTGTTGTTATTGTTGTAGATAGTCTGTAGAGTTAAACTTACAAGAAAAAAAATCAGACTTCAGTTTCTCATTCTTAATATATTACAAATAAAAACATTTCATTTTCATAGAAAACATACATTGAACTAAAATCTAGTACTCTGGATATACTTAGGTATAATAACACCACGGACACAAAAGTGGTGTCTGCATCAAGTCCACACAGTTGGTTACACCTGATGTTTATCTTGTGTAACTTAGACCTAAGATGTGGTACCGTATCTAGTAACGCGTGATTAACTCTCGAGTATATGGTGCAACACACACACATAGTCAGTGATATACTTGATATGGACGTTGCCTAACTGTGAGATCATTAAGTGTGACACACTCAACTGACTCAGTGTGCTGTAAGTTTAATGAATAAGATATGACGTGCACGGTTGACGCTGTGTAGTTTTGGTTTTCTATGACCAAGAGAACATCAGACGTAACACATTGACTTGGTGCTTCCTTGCAGTGTCCGGATAAAACTATGAGAACAACAGATGTGACACACACTTCTTACTAGCTTGTACTGATCCGGCGAAAATGTGAGAACAACCGATGCGACACACTTCTTGCTAACTGATCCGGCTAAACTGTGAGAACAACAGGTGTGACATTTGTTGCTAACTTGTACTGATCCGGTGAAACTGAGAACAACAGATATGACACTCTTGCTTGGTGCTACCTTGTACTGATCCTGTGTAACTTTGAGAACATCATATGTGACACAGTTACTTGGTGCTACCTTCTTGTACGGATCCAAGTTTAACTGTGAGAACATCATATGTGACACAGTTACTTGGTGCTACCTTCTTGTACGGATCCAAGTTTAACTTTGAGAACATCATATGTGACACAGTTACTTGGTGCTACCTCCTTGTACGGATACAAGTTGAACTGTGAGAACATCAAATATGTTATTCAGAATTACTGCTTCCTGAGACTGACTATGGAGTTAAATAAACAGTCATCTCCCATATCGATATTGTAAAGTCAATGAAACTGCATCTCAGCATATGGTTACTTTAGGTAATGATGACTGTTATTTATTAGGAATATGTTACATTTTATGCCAATGCATATTAGCAACAATAATCTTTTTGCATGTTATTATACGTACCTGGTGTGATAGAATTCATGATGGTTGACCTGGTATCCCACGTTTGATGGTCCTTCAATAACCTCCATGGTGGGCGTGGTAACTAGAAGTAAATTCAAATACATGTCAGATAGAACTCACCTAATAGATAAAAGGTTTGTGTTTTGTCTTTTCGTTCTTTGAGTTCGCAATAAAATTTCCGAGGAGCTTGAGAAACATCGAAAAACTTTTTATTTCACTTACAAAAATGTAGATGTTCAATACAGAAATCGTGCATTTTGTCCAGAATGCTGGAAAATAAAATCCAACCCTGCGAAGTACATATATACGTAATATACTCTCACAGTGATTTTACTGTTACCAATTGCTTCTTCAAGTTATGGTCTAGGAGTTAGCTAGTTTGTTAGAATTGTCAAAATTTGCAGTAGCTGAGGCGAATAGTAAAACGATTTCTTGGTTTCAATCACGGGACAGACTACAAAAAGACTACCACTACTGCATATTAAAAAAGAGAGAACGGGCTCTAATCTAACTTAGATGTGAACTAGAATATTCACTTTATAAATGCAGACATGTGCAGTCCTTCGGTATGTATTCAGCTGTTTCAAACAGTTTTTCATGTTACACTTTTGTGGAAAAGCACAACCTTTAAATAAAGTTACTTCAGCAGTAAATACAAATCTAGAAACTTTATTTCGTTTCCGTAATTTTGGAACTACATTAAGACGAAATAAATACAATAAGTTAAACAATATACGTGTCCCAGTTTCATAAGTCGGAACTATAGTTTACACCCTTTTCTAACGCTATCTAGGTCTGGTGCTCAAATTCCCAAAATAAAGCCTACACAAAAGTATATATAAATTCTTAACAAAATAAACACCAACCATGATTACTATCTTAAAACAGAACACATTGTTTGTCGTAATAAAATGTCAGAAGACATCTACTTCTAACTAGGTTGTTGATAATGCCTAAAGTTTGTGTATTTATTGATATGAAATAATTTACAATAAGAAAAGCTTTGTAAACAATCTATTTAAGAAAAAAACTTTCTTTCTTTCGTTATTTATTGAATTTCGCGCAAAGTTATCCGAGGGCTATGTGCACTAGCTGTTCCTGTTTTAGCAGTGATAGACTAGAGGTTAAGGCAGGTAGTCGACACCTCCAGCTCTTGAGCTACTCTTTACCAACGAATAGTACCGTCACATTATAACGCCCCCACGGCTGAAAGGGCGAGCATGTTCGGTGGCAGGATTCGAGCCATGCCAGGTCATAAGGAAAGAAAAAAAGGAAACGTTAGCATTATTCCGTTCAATTCTTAATGCACAGACTTTTTTCACCATAAACAGAGTTTAAGATTTACACCGTTACTTAATCAAAATGTGAAACACCGTTCTTACCATAAAAGGCTCTTCACTCATTCTCGGAAGTGTGCCGTCTGATCCAAAAGCTCATTGGCTAGCATATACATGCACATCAAAACACTTATTCAGTATCAGCAAATACAAAATACACATAAATATATATCATAATCATGTGTACTAATGACTTTGGATGAACTATTATTTATAGTATTTCATTCGCTTCATTTTTCTAACACACATTAATATTCATCATGTCGTAGATAGGAAAACTTAATAAAATATAAATAGATGTGTGTGTGTATGCAAGACACAGTTTTTGTTTACCCATTTTCAAAAATATATAATCTATTTGTGTTACTAATCTCTAAATCATCGACGAAACCGCTTACATGTAAAGTACTATTAAGGTCACTGAAGGAATGTATACACATATGAGGAATGTAGACGCTCGTGAGGGGGGTTGAATTCGCTCGTATGTGAAGAAATATTGAGGCACGTGAGGGTGTTAACCACGCCTGCATAAGAAGTGAAATCGACGCACGTGAGGGAAGGAGTTAAACACACCCACGGATGAAGTTTCTTGTTTTAAAAGTCAACCAATCCCTGAAAACGTTGCGCACTTGTCGGAACCGCGACACATGAAAACCGAATCATTGGTATATGCAAACGTTTTGAAAAAAAGTATACTAATCATTGTAATCGTCAACAAATAGTCTATTAATGACATGATTACCATGCTGCCAAAGTGGTCATAGGCTGGATGTTGCGTGTAAATATGTCGATCAAAAGATTTTCAATAAAAATTCATACAATAAAAAAATAAACTCTTATGGTAAGTCAACTTCTTATGGTAGTTAATTATATCATAGAATATAAGTAACTCTTTAATGTTTGCTTTATTGGTTTAAAAAACATCAACAACAAATTCTACTGTTATTTATATTGTAATGATGATACGAGTTAACATACAGTACTTAACAACTTAAGCTTAATTTGAATTTTTATAATAGAACGGACAAACAATCCGATGATGAATTAAAAATAAGTCGTTAATCATGCAAAAAAATAACAAGAAATTAACAAAAATGTACGAGATAAAATACGAAAAAGCAACAACAGAGGGGATGTTTTTATTTTCGAAAACGTAATAACAAAACAAAACTTGTGCAAAGGTAGGACGTGTACCTGAGGACAAGGAAGTAACAGAAGTAGGGGTGGGAAGAACAGGACTACCCACACTATGCTGGCCGCTGATTGACGGGACAGGGGCCGCGGTCATTAAGCCGTTCGTGTGGACGTAAAGGCTCGGCTGGCTATCTTGTGTTTTAGACTTCCTGCAACATTTCGGTAGCCAATCAACTTGATGGTGGGTTTTCCAGAAAGCCTTTCTAACCTAGAAGGTCAGAGCCAGTTATTCATTTTGATATGTTTAATTTAACTTGCAGTTATTTCATTCAGATAATTTTTATATCGATTGGTATCTGCACTGTTATCTGTAAAATGAATTTTACTGAATTGAATGAGGTAGCATCATAATATAACGAATACACTGTTAGTTAATGTAAAACAACTTTACGCTCACATACGGGAGGAGCTGCTAGATTACTTAAACATCTGTTTGTAGAAGCTATTTTTAAAATTTAGGTAAACGTGTTAATTGAAACATCTGTTTGTAGAAGCTATTTTCAAAATTTAGGTAAACTTGTTAATTTAAACATCTGTTTGTAGAAGCTATTTTCAAAATTTAGGTAAACTTGTTAATTGAAACATCTGTTTGTAGAAGCTATTTTCAAAATTTAGGTAAACTTGTTAATTGAAACATCTGTTTGTAGAAACTATTTTCAAAATTTAGGTAAACGTGTTAATTGAAACATCTGTTTGTAGAAGCTATTTTCAAAGTTTAGGTAAACTTGTTAATTTAAACATCATTATATTGTTGAACCCACTCTAAAACTATTAGCATTATCATCGCTTATACATTGTAAAAAAAATATAGCGGCAGATGGATTACTTGAGAACAACTATATTTATAATATATTCTATGACCATTCTTGTGCATAGATTTAATAAAATAAATAAGAATACTTAACGTTTAAAACTACACAATAATTTATTGTATGAAGTTAAAAGTAAAATATACAACTAAAAATTCTATACAATGATTTTGAATATTGATCTAGGCCCTGGTGCCACAGAAATGAATTTTTGGAGATCTATTCTACAGATAGCGCTGTATAATATGCAAATTATACACGTACACTTGCTGGTATAGAAATAAAATATGAATTTTCCCGCGTTTTTTTATCTGGTCTCTTGAAGATGGTGGAACTTATTTTCACCGAAACATGTAGAGTTTTTAATTGTATATTTTAATTTTAACTTCATACAATAAATTATTGTACATTTTTAAACGTTGAATGTTATTACTTATTTTACCGTATATTTATTTTATTTATAAATATAAGAGCAGGTTTAAATATGTGGCATTATACAAACATTTAGAATAAGTCTCACCTCGAGGTCTCTTATGCAGAATATGATAAATATTATAACACCCTGAAGACAGTTGAGGACGGCGAACACGTATGCTGTCAGAGATGTTCCCTCGAACAGAAACCACAGAGCTGAACCCCATGTTAGACTCGTTACTAATACGATCAACAAAGCTTCTCGACACCATATTCTGAAACACCAAAGAAACTGAAGGTACATGACTTCTCAAGGTTTCCATTTTTGTTTAATTATTGAAAAATACAGCTATGGTTAGCCTTTTCATTCAGACATCAAATCTCATCTGAACAGTTGAGGCCTTAGAATTGTCACAAGTAGAATTCCCTTTTTAATATAGTGAACTTATATTTTTGAGTAAAGAAAGAAAACGTTTTAAAAGTTTGTTTTGCTAAAACGCATATATTTATTCGATTGAATCTGTATAAAGACCTAATCCACGACACACTTTATCCCCACACCTTCGATGTGTCAGTGGTGGCCTTGAGGGCTTATAACGCTACAATTCTAGGTTTAATCCATGCGATGGTTACAATGCAGATAGCTTATTGTGCAATACGCTTAATAAAAAAACAATCATGATTTCCATTGTTAATTACTAATTAGATTTTTGTTCCCTCGCCATTTAAATTAACAAATAATTTAGATGCAATATCTCCCACTGAACATTAATAATTGTTGTTGTACATTGTTGCCATTTATCAATTAAACATGAAATTGTTGAGGAGAATATTTGTTACTTGAGAGCATAACAAACGCTGAAATATAGTATGCTACTAAGCAAACATATATTTAGCATATATTTAAATCAAAATGTAATATAATTAAGTTTGCGGTGCATTTCACGTATGTTTTCTTTTTCGGTAATTTGGATTCAAAAACAAAAAGCATGTTTTAAAGTTAGCGATTTAGAGCAGCAAAAGAAAATGCTAAACATTTATTTATTGTTTTATTGAACTTAATGTTTTCTAGATTTAGATTTAGTTAAAAAAATATTGTTTTATTGAGCTTAATGTCTTTTAGATTTAGATTTAGATATTGTTTTATTGAACTTGATGTCTTTCAGATTTAGATTTAGTAAAAAAAAATATTGTTTTATTGAACTTAATATCTTCCAGATTTAGTAAAAAAATATATTGTTTTATTGAACTTAATGTCTTCCAGATTTAGATTTAGTAAAAAAAATATTGTTTATTGAACTTAATATCTTCCAGATTTAGTTTGTTTGTTTTTTTTGAATTTCGCGAACAAAGCTACACGAGGGCTATCTGCGCTAGCCGTCCCTAACTTTAGTCAGTGTAAGACTAGAGGGAAGGCAGCTAGTCATCATTACCCACCGCCAA